GGGGTGGGTCCCCGCGAGAGTTGTCGCTCCCGCGAGGTTCAAGTGGGTTCTGAGGCTGGGGGGATCCTTACGGGGGAAGTGGTTCAATTCGCAGTGAAGGGAATTTGGTTAGGGTGTAGTAACATAAAGTGTGCACATAATTTCAAAGAGATTTTACTACTGTACTGTATATTGGTTTTATTGCAAGATGAGTTCTGTGTTTTTTTTAGTTTTTGAGATTTGGCCACGTTCATCTTTCCATAGTTCAAATCGGATTATTTTAGCGTAGCTAAAATTTGTAGATAGTGTATATTATGGTTTAGGGTACAGCAGTGATTTATTTTTTTGCAGATGATTTTATTATAGAATAGCCTTTTTGGAGCAGAAGGTGTGTCCTCCGCTGGAGCTCATTTCGCAGAACATGGGCAAAACACTTCAATGGTGTATCATGTTCTTCTTTGTTTTTTCCACAAGTGAGTTAGATAGTGGTATTTCCCATTTAGTCAGAAAGCTTTTCACATGCTATGTCTTACTATACCTTTCGAAACAGCAATACAGTCATTTTATTGAAAGGTAGCCGATATTTCATCTATATCATAGAAACGTACAGTACTTCAGTCGTCGAGAAAAAAGGATTACTCTTGCTGCTCCAACGCATGCCTTGATTTACTAATTAAAGGTCCATTGCTTGAATTCGCTGTTTTGTATATAGAGAACTTCGGTAGTATTTGATAATTATCTTCCACTTTTGTAAATCATTTAAACTTTGTACACACCGTAGCAAAAATGAGTCTACGCGAGCGTATAACAGCGTGAGTCTTCCCGAGAAAGAAAAAAATCACGAAGAGACTTTTCCTGAATTCTATGTTACCGTAGCTATGATTATAGTTAAAAGTAGCCCCTTATAGTTTAGCAAAAATTTGTTTTCAATTCTCCCAAGCAGCTGCGGAAGCCATAAAATGCTACGTTTGCAAGTCAAGCAAGAGCAACATGTGCAATGATCCCTTCGACAAGACGCGAGCTAGAAAGGACAACCTCTTGAAGGAATGCTCTTACGACCTGCTCGCATCCGAGGCCACGGGAACAATACCGAGGGAAAATGTGACCTTCTTTTGCCGCAAGGGATATCAAATGGGTGAGCTTGGATTGCAATTCGACGCCATTTTTTCCCATGTTTTGTTCGGAGCTGGATATGTATATATACTATGTATGCATTATAATGATAAGGTATGTGACCCGAGGATTGAATGCAACGCGCAGGAAACTTTATTTGCTCCGTACACGGCACACAGATGGGAACGTGGGCAGGTTGTTCAAACAGCACCTCTTAGGGCTCTGTTTTCCCGTCGTGCCTTGTTAGTAGTGTCGTGATATCTTTACGAATTCTGTAGTTTTTGAAAAAAATTGCAATAGTAACACGCGGGACATGGATTTTTTTCACGCCGACGAGATTCCTTTGTGTTGGAAATGGCTGCGTCAACTTTTCAAAAGTTAGCGAATGTTATGCAGGAATTAAGCAATTGAAACGAATTTTGTAGGACATCAAAAGAATTCTGAAAATGCACTCACACCGAATGGGACTGCTATGCGGAAAATCGACGCTTCAATCAAAGCATCAATTCATTTTATTGTGAAAAACAGACGCCCTGAGCAATTTTGAATGATGAAAAAATTACGATGTACAGCACTGTCAATTTCATTTTACAAAAAGTGAATAGCTGTTTATTTTGAAAATTTTAATTAGGACTGTGACTGTGGAATATCTTGTGATGTGAATTCAATATTCCATATAATATCGACGTGATGGGAACGCCTGAAATATTTCTATCAGACAGTCAAAAATCTCTTGATTTTTCCATCAGCAAAAAAAAAAAAAACTTGCCGTTTGAAAACTATTGAACCAGCAGCAATTTTACAGCCAGTATATTTTCATGGTTTTCACGGAACCGAGTGATGACGCTAAGATTTTTGCAATGTTTTTCATGCAAACATTTTCTTATTAGGATTTATGAAAGCTTGAATATCCTCGCGATCGTAATGAAGTTTTTTTTAAATAAATTACGCGTGAAATTTATCGGTGAAAAAAATCGTTTATAACGGCATAAAAATATTCCAAAGAATTGTTTTTAGAAAAGGTTGGCATTTTTATCTCCCACGGGTTATTTTAGGCATCTGGTGTATTATGACGTCAAAGGGCAATGAATCCTTCAGCAGGTGAAGTCTTGGCTCATTCAACCACACCTACTCATGAGTTTTTTCCACGTGTGTGGGCGCATCAATGCACAGCTTGAATTACCCAGTGAACTTTGCAAACAATATTTGCATGCTCTTTCCACAAAATTTGTTTCCACCATTTTATAATTGAAATACTGTATTCAAGGAGTTAAGGAATCCACCAACGCAGAAGTTATCCCGACAATCCGAGTCACGTACTGTATTCCATTTCGGGGAAATATTTCATGCTGGTTTCGAGTCGGAGGTGACATGTGAATATACATTATGCACATTATGTGCTTCCTAAAATATGCTGCCTCGTTTTTCAGAATTGAATCAGTTTCTATCATTGTAGTTCAAGTGGATATTGGTGTTGAAAAAGAGTAGCCCGTAAATTTTATCAAGAGTACGGAAGTCATTGATGCTTTTATACAGTATGACAGCTCGAAAGTGGATAATATAAGGCCTCCTTGAGGCAAGAAAGTGAATCTTTATAACAATGAATAGGATTTGTGAACTTGCTTGATGTGCACGGAGTTGAAAGGAATCCATTAAAAGTATCCGTAACTTCAATTGTTGAGTGAAGAAAAATACCAGACGAAGCACTCTGAATATGAAAAATCATCCTTATAAAGGAAAATCCCAGAAAAATCGTCCAGCGTAAAATGGAAGCACGCAGAAATACAAATAAATCACCCAGCCATCAGTAAGCAATTTATTCATTTGATGAAGTTGTTTTTTTTTTCGTTGAAACCTATTTTTACTTATATGCATTTAAATCTACTCTATTTCAAAAAGTTGTAAAAGTGCGTGACACTGTATTTTGTTTCCACATTTAGTTCATGGCAAGGAGCACATCTACAGAAGTTGTGGCTGGGAACCGTATTATGTGGAAGGCCGTGACTGCTACTTCACTGCCGTAGAGAACGTCAAATCGACCACTTGCGAGTGTCACGAAAATGGCTGCAACGACTCAGAAACCAAATCCGTCACGATGTCCGCCCTGATTGTCTCTGCAATGCTTGTCATTCTGCTCATTCCCAGACTGCTCAGATCTTCGCTTAATAATTGCTGCTGACAAAGACAGTTCTGAGTTCTAAGGCCATGGTGCAGGTCAATCACTTCTCGCAAACAATTAATTGACAGCACCGCCAATCATCTCAATGCTCCGGCCAGCACTGATACGCGCAGTGATGAATCCGTTCAATTGATCCAAACTGATGATGTTAACGCTCGCAAGTTGTTCGGGGGATCTTCCTTCACATACCCACTCATTTCGTACGAACAGTTCATGATCCAGGTGCAAGGCTTTAGACCCGTGTTCAGACAGTGATCACTTCAATTAATGGTGCTGACTCGTTTGCGAGTCCTGTAATTCATCCTGATGATTTTCAGTTGCGTATTTAATACGATTTTCTTACCATATACTGTAATTGGGTTGAATCTCTGAAGATCTTATTCACTTCGAAGTCGGTGGATACATGATAAGTGAGAATGTGGTGATGCTTCTGTATAATTTGAATCATGATGTGCTGTTTAGGCATCACTAGGGATTAATTATTCTTTCTTTTTACATTAATCTCGAAGAATGATAAAAGTTCAGTACAGTATAGACTTTCCTCTGTATCAGTTTGATGGCTCATATTGATCGCGAGGTTGATCCCGAAATAAAGAATGAGGAGACGATACTCTGTGAGGGCATGATGAAACGCTTCCGAAAGACCGTCAACCAATAATGACTGCAACGGATGGCTGGATGGCTTCTGCCATTTGTTGCCTTTAAACGATGGCAGAGATATTTTATTCACGATTCGCGCACTGCCCCGATGGATGTCTTTATTCGCTCGGCTCCTGGGAAGAATTCGTACCTGGCATCCACAGCTATCGAGGATCACAATTTCAGCGCAAGTGGAGAAATCGCTGGCCATTCGAGTAGTATGATTGTGGGGTAAAAGGAAAGTATCCTGCTGAAGGAACCGACGTCGTAAGTTTTAGACACGAGCAGTAACGCGCGCGCGGTTGAATGAACTTCATTGTATAGACGAGAGAAGCAAGTGACGTATATAGACGGACAAGTACTGTACCATATAGTTCTCTTCTGTGTGTTGCAGTCGTTTCAGGGTGACACAGATTCTGTATACGTTGCGAAATACACCATCAGAACGAGATAGCCCCAGAGGGGTGCGTTTGTGTACTGAACTTTCGTGTTTTCTTTCCGGCTTATTCCGACGACTTCGATGGGGTTTTGGACCCCGGAGGATACTCTCACCATAACGCAAAAGCCGAACGGTTTTAAAAATTGTTTTTTTAATCTTCAACGGAAAACTGCTGTTCGTGCTCATCATCTGGAATGCCATAGTTTTTGACGCATAAATCAACTACAATATTCTACGACTGCGATGACAAAAGTGCTGTGAATGCTGAAATCTGAACAATAAATGAATCATCTCACATCACTCATGAGATTTACTGCACAGGCACCCGAGTGGGGTATTGGGGATAGTGAAGAATAAATTAGCTATAAGTGCGGCTTCTCTGATGAGTAGAAAATCTGCAGCTAGGAGAAAAAATCTCCGTCACGTCTGACGCTGAGCCTGAGGATCATGGATAACCTTGCGAACCGGAGTGCCACTTATCCTGTGCAAGCATCACATAAGCATAACCTTAATTCTGACAATCGACAGACTGAAAGAGTTAACTTTTTGAAAGTAATTGCTGAGACTCCATTATTTGTACCATCTATTGTGCCAATCTTGACAAAACGATTCAACTCATTAAAACTTGCATCAGCATTAATTCGACGTGACAATAAATTGGACTTTTAAAAATTTGACGATGTTCGTATGACTATGAGTTCATTTTGTTAAAATTTCTGGAAAAGCAAAAATTTCCTTTTGTGCTCGTGCGACATCTAAGAAAAGGTTGAGAATCTATCAAGTAAGTTGGCCGTTTAAATCGCCAGGTGGACATCTCTACAAAACTTTTTGAATACTGTAATAATTCTTTAAAATACTGTCTTCAAAGTTTTCGTCAAGATTATTTGCATACTAATTTGTGTGATTTACATGTTATTGTGGCTCCGCGTATTGTAACAGCTTCATATTTTACAGAGGTCAATAACTTCGTATGGATCCAAGTGACGGTAAGAAAATGGAACCTCTGCTGTTCAGGTGCGGAATCCCCCAACCTTGGAGTAGTAATCCGAAAAAGACGAAAATGATGCGAAGTTCTGAGTCATATGATGAATGACACACATTAAAATGACACTAACAAGCGTGCTTTTCCACAGCGGATGAAAACGGTGCAGGTCTCGCAGTTCTCCCAAGAGTTTTTAGGATGCTTTTTATGAGATGTATACTCATAATTCCTCTGGGAGATGATTCAGCTGAGTCGTCCTCATGTAATATACATTAGCGATGATATCAATAAAATGTCTTAATTATTTTGATCGTGAAGAAACTGCAGCACAGAGCTTGTCAGAGCAGAGTCGATAACGCATGTCTTCTTTCCCTAAAATTCTTGGCGGAATATTTAGCGGATAAGTTTTATGGGATAAACGTATAAGGTTATTCTGCCAGTGCTTCTACTCTCTTAAGTCTCTTATTCGTATATCCCCGCTTATTTAAATAATTCCCTGACGAAGAGGGCAAAAAACGCCGAAGTTTCAAACGTGTGAAAATGAAAATAGGTCTTCGTTCAACGTTGCGTCATTCGCAAAAATACAGTCTCAAGGAACTTCCAGCAACGCCGTAAGAATGTCCTTCAAGCAAACATTCGAAGTCAAACAGACTGAGGAACATCCGAGAACAAAAAAGAACGGAGGCTATCAAACGGTACTCACATTACTCGTCCACAGCACTCTTAATGCTCCTGTGATGTGACCACGATCATATTCTTGAATATCAAATTCACCGACACATTTTTCCAGAATATTCGTGCATCTCTCTCAATGAACTGGCATTCGTACAAATCAGGCAACGCAATGAGAAGTATCACTGACATCTGACGTCAAAGAGTCACACGCGAGTGTCGCTCTGCACTCCGCATCACACACTGGTCTCACAGGAGAGTTCTTCCAGTAATGCCTGAAACGAAAAACAAAACATTCATTCATGACGTCAAAATAGAGACGAAAACTGAGAAAATTGAATACATCACCTGTAATATTTGTCGAATACAACGTCATCAGTTGCGAGTGAAGCACCAAGAGACGCGTACGACGTAGGAGACAAGTCCGACATACGGAATTCCTCCAACATCGAATATGCTTTGAACCATGTTGTCATGCCTTCATTATTTGCTTCATCCAACTGGTAAATCCATGTTTCGTGATCCACGACCGCCTAGAAAATATTCCAAAAATTTCCTTTAAACAAGGGAACCTCCATCAAAATTTCGAGAAAAATTGCAGGGAAGAATTAAGGAGTTTCTTGAGGGATCCACCCTCAGCCGCGCGTGTCACAAATCACGACGCATAATTTATACTCTCGATGCATATTAATTTCAGTTAATTTCTCCACTTCAAGTAAATTACACGGCTATTAAATATTTCATTCGATATACAGTACTACGTAACAAAACATCGAGAGATATATGTCGAGGTGGAAATATTCGTAAGTTGCTTTCACAAAAAGCGCTGTGAATGACATCGAACTAAAAAATGTCGCATCCTCCATCAGGCCAAATTTTTAAAATTGTTTCCACGCCAAGCGACTCTTGATAACAAGCAATCTTTAGAAAGAAAAGAACAATTTTCAACAACTAACCCAAGTCGAGTCAGCTTCCCGAGCTCCATCGACATAGAATATTCTGTAACCGTAATTCAAATACTCGTAAGTCGTCAAGCTGGGTGTGATATAGGCCACATTCGACGGTAGTCCCTCTTCATTGAAGAATACATTGAATTCATCCCAATGGGTGTGTCCATAAAACTGGGCTTTGATTATGTTCTCGTACCTAAAATTCATCAAAAAGGTCGTTATAGCGCAAATATGTACTGTACTAATGTTTTCAATTTTGACAGTAAATAGTACTGCATTCAATTGCATTTGGGATGGTACAGAGTCATTCAGAAAATTGATGAAATTTTTTCCCTCATAAGTCTTGACCGATAATATAACATACTATGTTACATCGAGAAGCAGTCGACAATGTATTTTGGAAAAATTCTTTGGGAATTTGCGTTCAAGTGCAATTGGTTCAAAAACGTGTGTTCATTTTAAATCGATAGTTCTGTACAGTTGAACATCGATAACTCTAATACTACCCTATGTTAAATTTGTTTTGAGTCGCTGTCTGAATTCCCTTATCATTAAATGCATTATAAACCTCCTTAATTCAAAGGTTTTCCCCTCGAAACCACAAAAACTCAAATTTTCTGGATGCCTTTTGGCTATTACAGTATTTTATTCACACAGGAAAGAGAAAAGTAATTCAAATTGAACTTCTTGATGTGCTTTGAGAGGAGGAGAATAAAAGACTAATTGGGCAAATGAACCCATGGCTTAATTCAAGTTCAGCATCCAGTCAAATAATTTAGGAAGCAATTTAAAGGCCCGATCAGCAATCATAATTTCCTGTGATTCTTCTTCCTTATAACCGGGACAAAAATTCTTGTTCCCCTAGCTCGTAAACCTCCCTAACTCGATTTTTATTCTGGTCCCTCAAAATTTGACTTTAAGACGTTCCACTTTATCTTCTGTTGGTGTGAGTGCGGCAAATGAAAGTTGTTTCATCACCGGTTCACAATCCTATTGAAGTTATGACTCCAAACTGGCGTGAGATCACGAGAACCCGGTGGTATATGGCCAATAAGGAACACCTTCTCGCCTGCGTTTTCTGCAAGTTGCAATTCACCGGCAAGCCACTCGAGTTGGGCATTTGGATCAGGAATTCCAGACCATACCATCCTAATCCACAAAAACAAAACACCCTTCATCCATTATCGATGCATTAAGTCAAACAGCTTTTATTACGTGACATCACAATAGCCACGCTTTTACCTCAAAAGCTATTGTTACGTACCAGTTGTTTACATATCCCAGGAGATTATTGAAAACGAGCACGCGTAATCCAGGACGGGGTGACACCGAGTACTGCCCAGTTTTGCGCACATTCGCTTCTTGATCCGCAGGCAGCCAATGTTTCCAATTCTCCCACGCGTCATCGTAAATGTAATTCGTTGACAACTCAGCGGGTTCCCCGAGTTCAGCAAATGAGAAACTGAAATCCGGAACGTAAATTTTTTTCATATCATCAGAATTCAAGATAATGCTCTATCAATATTCCGGGTGTCCGACTGGGCAATTTGACTTTCTATTGCAGTTTACTAGTCTAATTTCATAAGATTTTCTTATGTTTAGGTCAGGGAAGCTAATAATGTAGTTTGATTTGTCATTTTAGATGAATGAATATTTTTTTCTTGTACAGCTTTTACATTACGGCGACGTATATTCAGCATGTGCTTCGGGGTGGGGGATATTACAAAAAGTTTTCTCCATCTAATTCCTGAATCAATTAAACATAAATGAAGCAAAAACGTACACATTACATGGATGAGGGTCGTGGTTACCCAGCCCCATGAGCACCGCCTTGTCCCCGAAATAAGTGACCATTGTGTCGTAAAATTGAGCGATTGCAGCCAAGTTTGACTCCACACTTTGAGCCCATAGATCATGAGGCGGAATGTCTCCAGTAAAAATGATCATATCAAGGTCCTGTGGACAACAATAATGAGGCACTAATGAACGGGCAAAAACCGTAACAGGACAGGTAACCACGTGCTGTAGAATACAGCAGCCGTGCAGAAGTCTTATAGGTTAAAGAATCACAAACAAAAATATCTTTCAAGACAGTTAGTGTGAGATAATTGAGAATCACAAACAAAAATATCTTTCAAGACAGTTAGTGTGAGATAATTGAGCAGATCGGTTCGGTTCGCCACGTAACTACAGGTTTTCAGAACGAATAAATTTACACACCTTTAATCTTTTTATTCTAAAAATGTTCAATTATTAAGTTTTTGATTAGCTCCGTAATTAAATGTTTTTAATTTGCACGGCAGTTCCTTTAAATTATCTGGATAAACGCACAACCGTCCCGATCTTCATTTAATCCGCAAAGCTGACGTAAAGTACCGGATGTGTGGCAAGAATGTGCTGAAACGCATCATCAATAGCGTTCTGTGGAGTATCGCAAGGTTCGTAAGCACCGAAGATGCCAGCAAGAACATCCAAGCCGGGTCCACTAGTTGACTGACAACAAAGGGGCTTCCCGCAATTCGCTTCAGACCCAACTTCATACAACAAGTCCAGGTGAACATCAGCAAAATGGAGAATTTTCAACAATGGAACTCCTTCCTGGGAAGATAGTCGCAAAAATAAGAGAAGCAGATTTTAAAGCAATGGGAGAGTAATAAGAGGACTTGAAGGACCCACCGGAACTACGACAGTCTCCGTCACGGGCTTTGCAACGTCGGGAATCGGGACGGTCCACAGGCTATTCACGTCTTCGCTAATGGTACAGTCTGAAGAACCAATTGCGAAGGCACAGAAGTGATCCATATTCACCGAATGATTGCTCAATACCCATCCCAGAGTCAACTGTGAGAAGTGGCAAACATGTACAGAAAAAGGCCTCAGGTAAATGAAGTCGAACCCGGCTTCTCCAAACTTCAGTCGAATACCTTTGATTATTCTCACCCCGAATAATTATTTTTCAGTCAATTATATCTTGTCAACGAAACCAAAGAATAGCTTTTCTCGACGTTTTGAATGAATGCTTGAACTCAGTGCTTGTCCCGGGGATCTACGCTTGAAATTTTAAAATAACATGAGGTACCATTAAACATTCAACTCAAATGCAGTAGTATCACAGTTTTCTGAACATTTTACCTCGAAAAATACTCTCAGTCCCAACTGACTGAAATAAGGTATTCGGATATTATGCAAAAAAAATACATTTCATTCCTGAAAATACAAATGAAATTTCTTCCTCCACCGTTATACTGTACACCCTTTCTACAACGAAATAATTTTCACAAGCTTGAAAAAACACTTTAAAAATGAAAGCATATCCTCAGATAACGTAAATCGACCTTAAAAAGAGAAAACATAACTTTTACTTTCGAAACAAGTCAACGTTTCACGCAATGACTAACGCTTCGAGAATAATTGCTGATGGCAGCTAAGATTCGAACCTGGATCTGTAATAACGTTCATGCATGGAAGTAACATAATACAGCAGTACTGTACTGTACTTTCATAATACTGTATCTTGCGCATTCAAGAGAAATCCGAGAACATAGCACTCATTCGAACTGTTCCACTGTAAGTAGTAGAACACAGGACCTCTCTTCAGACAAAATATGAAGAAAAAAGTCCTGCATCAGCGGAAATATAGTAGTTAGTTGCTCACGAAAAACGCCACCATGGATTGATCAGCGGACTGCGTGGTAATTTATGATGCGACAACAGCTATCAATTGCTAAAGAACCGTGAAATTAAGCGCTATGACAAAACAAAACAACTGAAATTTCGAAGCGTTACGTCACGTCTAGAAATTAAGCACAAGTTACCACAGTGGCTTCCAGTATCCCTCGGCAGATGTCTTCTTCATACAAAAACGTCGAGCAAACTGGGATGAGTGCATTGATAATATCTTCAGTCGTGAATCCTTGGTTGAGATCCTCAACCAAAGAGTTGAAAATTGAAGTGCAAATAAAACAGGGTATATCAACTATCGGACGCGTGGGATCTCTTGTAGAAAGATCTTTGGCCCACGGAACCCAAAATTCCGCAGTATCCCTAAAAATCACTTGAGACGAAGGTTGCATCTTCTCCTTCGCTCCAACAGAAGCAAGCATAAGAAGGACTGATCCAAGCAGCCTCATGTTTCTGACTGATGCGCTATTTCGATACTGCTCGACTTCACTTAATTTCCAGCTATTAATCTCGTGCCCATTGATAAGGAGCCCCCACACCTGCAGACTTTCCCAGCCTTTCACCGATAAAATGATGCCTTATTCAGCTTAGAAAGGCTTTTGGAATTCTCAAACTTTATTTTGGAACCCCAAAACCACAATTTGAATCAAAAATTTCACAGTGCCGCAAATGTTTAATGGACAAATCGCAACAGCTTTAAAAGAAAGAAAGCTGCTACTTCTTAGACTTCTTCTTTTCCGCTTCTTCTTCTTTGTCCTTCTCGATTTCAGCAACAAATTTCTCAATTTCTTCAAGTTCGAGCATCCGCATTTTCTTGTTCCTCTCCATAACCGCAACTAAGGAGCGAAAAGTTTTTGGCACAAGATGTCTCCTTAGATCATATATACAAACTAACCTTCGAGGTTTTTGCTGCCACTCTGCACAACTTCGAGCAAAGCACGAATTGCAAGCTTGACCGCGACGGCATTCGATTTCATACCATCTGCCGCGTAGTTCTTTTCCAAGAACTCACGAACCGTTTTTGCGGAACGACCTGTTGCATCTGCTTTCCATTCATGATATGTTCCACTTGGATCCGTTTCGTACAGTCTGGGTGTTCCGTCATTATCAAATCCGGCTTTTAAAATACAAGCAATTTTCCATTATCGAACTCACAGCATGAAAAGCTCGCATACGTACCGATCAGACATGTTATTCCAAATGGTCTCTTCCCATTGCTCTGCGTGTACTTTTGCTTCAAACCAGCAATATACCTGGTAATGTACTCCAACGAACATGGATCTTCCACCGTCAAACGATGCGACTGACACTCCGTTCTGGCTCGATTAATAAGTATTCTCGCATCTGCCGTTAAACCTGCGTAAGAGAGCGTTTTTTCTACTGACCTTAACCACTGAGGAGAAACTGAGAGCTCACCAGCGAAGGCCAAAACTACGTGATCATCTAAAAGGCAAATTTTCCTGATTGTTCGATCTTCTTGTAACGTTGCGACAGCTTTTTTCTCCACTCCAAGAACAACACAATCCTGGCCGCGAACGCCAACAGCGGTCGAACCCTTCTTCACGGCTTCTTGAGCATACTCCACTTGAAACAAATGTCCATCGGGGGAAAACACAGTGATCGCTCCATCGTAACGAGCAGTTCCCATTATCAAGACGCAACTGTGTTTCGTAAATTTTCAACAGAAACGTTTTCACCTGCAGCAGGAGAGCACAATCATCCATAAAGTTTCGTCACCGAACCCGAACAGTCATCCGAATCAAATAAAGAGGAGAAGAGCACTGCATATCCGGAACAAAGGATGCTCATCACCACACGCAACAGTCCAGAATCGCACCGGGTGAACATCAAATAACTCCGCAACTCACCGCGTTCGACTCTCACTTGCTCACAAACAAAAACGAGCAGCGAACAAGAGCAACAGAATGGAATTCAATCGAATCCATACTCCTGTTAATCTCGAACACTCATAATTTCGAGGTGTTCGAGGTTCCACTAGGGGTCATCATCGAGAAATTCGCTGACGATAATTTACCGGAGAACTCCGGCAAGAGCGCGGCCATGTTTCTCCACTGCCTCCATCTATTCTAAGATCAACTAACGACTTTCGCTTATTGTCAATATTCCTACATCTAGAACGGTGGCATCCCTTCTTCCCTTCCCAGCTGAATAAGCCGCAATTTACCTGTACTGTATACTGTTTACTGTATATAAGATAATCGGTAATCCAGCCGAAAACATCTTACATTGATGTACGGTTTTAAAAAATAGTGATCTATCTACTGGTGACGGATATCCTTGTATTATTAAGATTGAAAATGGGTGAAATTGAAGCAAAAAACTTCCAGATCGATTTCACCCCTATTGAACTTGAAAAAAAGAATACGCAAGGCATTTATCCCGATTGTTTCACAAGATACCTATACTCTGTATTCATAGATGCGCCAAAGCAATTCACGAGGCGAAAATAAGTAGCAATGTCTCAGACAAGTACGTTTGAATGTTTTTCAACGGCATTAAGCCACAAACACGAAGTTGGAAGGAGAACAAACTTTTCTCAAGCGAGGGTTTTTCGAAATGTCTCTCAATAAAGACATCTAAACAAGTGATGAAGAAAACAAAGCAGCTAGCAGGCATATAAATGTAACTTTGAGTCTATGAAAACCTCTATCAGTGCGCAGCAGTTTCCAATAAGAACGTGAAATGCATTTATACCATTTTCACTAGAAAATCCCGACGATGTTCGCATTGGATCAAATTGAGACTGATGGGTCCGTTGCCTGGATGAAACTACATACGCCAGACAATCCAGGATTGCCTCCGAAGAACTTTGATATCCATCATCATGGATATACTGCGCAGCATTTTATTTCTACATGTTGTATAGCAGTTGATAACCTGAAACGAGCAGAGCACATGATGCGCAACTTCGGGCGAATCTATTTCTCGATTATATATCTCGCTGACGGACACAGAAAATCGCTCAATTTCCTCCAACGAACATCATTGATCAAGCGCAATTTTCTTCCATGCAGGTTTTCCTTTTTTGTTCGAAAATATGGCTGCAATAAACTTCGCACGAACACGGAAGTATGTTTCGGAATAAGAAGGCTTATCGATCTGATTTTTTTGAAATTTTCTATTGCGGGAAATCAAATGTTCGTTTGCCTGTGATTAAAAAAAAGAACAATCACCAATGATTCTTCGAGCAAAATCCAGAACATTTTTTTATTCTGATCGAAACAGGTAATATATAGCTTGCTTTCGTCACATGAATTAGGCTCAGTGCTTTCTTTCCCCATTGCCATAAGTCTGATTTCCAAGGCAGTTGAAGTTTTAGAACTTTTCATCCACGCGGCATTCAATTTCGAAAGAGTGCAGTTTAGAGCACCCATAGCAAGATAAAATATTTTCTGGATGAAATGAACGTGTTTTATGCTTGAAAAATTGTTGAAACAAAAGTTAAGCCAGCCACCGCGGTGCATCAACAATAAGATCCATGGAAGTTTTCAAGACATCAGTTTACGGGAGTGTCTTATGAACAAAAACCTGCTGATAACTGAAAATTTTTTGGTAAATGCAAGTTTATTTTAAAGGTGTCTCTTTTTTAAAGCGTATCCTATATGCACACTGGGAGCACAAATCATCGCATCCACATTGCGTCACACAGATATTTCTCGACGAGGATGAAGAAACACACCCATCTGATGAATGTTAACAGTAAAATGCTCGTCGGACTATAGATTTCTACGTAATTTTCAGTAGTAATCAAACCAGAAACATCACAGTACATTGAAATGGTTTATGCTTTTTTATAGCTGCATGGGTTTCATAAGTTTTCAATGCAGCTATATAGTAGATTTGTCATAAAGCAGAGAAGCTCGTCCATATGTTTATCCTCTTCATATAAATCCTGATTAACTGTTCGCAGTCCTACAATTTTCATTTTATGATTGCCAGGAAAAAGCTTTCTGACAGCACCGTCATGTAAAATCGACGCAGACAAAATGCACGAGGAATATAACTTATATAAGTATTCTTCTTCATGTCGGCTTTCCTGCGAATAATATGTCATGCATGCACTCATCGACTAATGGCGCAGTTTGATTCAACATGATTCCATCTCCTAATTAGATTGCCAATAATGCATTACGGGGCCTGACACCGTTGTTCACCGAGTGAGCTTTCTCTCATCACTCTTCATTTGTCATTCGATGGTTCTCGTGGGGAATAAAGTTGCTACTTACGACATATTTCCAATAACAATAGGAAAAGGTCGCCAAAAAGTGGGACGGAAACACAAGAACTTGTTCGAGCAGGAAGCAAGCCATTGCTTTTTTTTCTTCGAGGAACCAGTTTTATTTCCATATATACTGTACATACACACGAGAGTCTCGGGTGCATGTAAATAACAAGGCGGAAACGGAATATCAATGTGAAAGTTTCACAGGGGCCATCACATGCATGAAGTCCATGCAAAAACTTCTCACTTCGATTCGTCGTGTTCTCCCAGTTTTGCGGAAAATCGCAGACGAAGAAGGCATGCGTACGACAAGCGAAATGGAGTTTCTGGATGAAGCTAGGCTAAGAGAAAATTGAGACGGTACGAAATGCATGCTAATTTAGGCACTTGTTATGCAAATTATACGTACATATCGAACGAATGACCCGCCGTTAAATGCAGGTAGCTCCTGATGCAATACTGCTGGGGAAATTTCCCGTGGTTTGATATGGTACATCAAGAAACTGATCTTCGGTGAACCAGCCAACAAATTCAAAGTTTGCTTCCTCTTGAAAAATTCATAGTTCATCTTTAATTTACCACATCTATCACAGTACAGTTAATGTGCTGCAAGCATTTATTAGATGCTATTGTGCAAAAATAACTTGAAACAATTTGTCAAATATATCATTATGTATTTTTCCAATATTGTTAAGCTGTGGGAGAGGGGGAAAAGTTTCTGAAAGCGCACAATACCCAAAGCATGGGAATCATCAGGGCAAGGCTTCATTCACCCGCAAGAGAGATTCCATATTTAATCCGTGCGCAATTTTCCTCGTGATCTTTCCGTGCCGTGAATAAATTAAGAATGGAGCACCATATGCTGCTGCACTTGCTCACTCTTCATCTATATGGTTATAGGGAGGAACAAATTGGCAAAATTTCCGCTAACGAACAAAACCTTTTACCTTCCAGTAAGTCTTGCACGATTCATTAAAAATGAAAGGCTACACTTCTTGAAGGATTACCTGACTTATGTCAGCGTAGTCAGCTTAAACCTTTAGCATATATCAATTTTAATTTAGATCTCACCCTTTTCAGTTCACAAAAGGACACCTCGAACGAAGAAACTCCCACGTATAATAACAGACGATATAATATGTCTCAAATGACGAAATTCAATTCCGTTCATGCGGGAAAAAGTTTTCATCTGCGGTTCTAAAGTGATTATCCATCTGATGAATGGGCCATTCCTGTAGTGTACGGTTGATTCATCCTCAATTTTGTTTTTTATTATGATAGCCCAAAAATCAAATAAAAATCAGGCATATTATTCTTCAACACAACTTTTCAAAGGAAAAACCGGATGTTCCTTTGATTTTTCCAACGATTTTTCTCACTACTTACCGCTTCGGTCATCCTCAATTTTTGTGTTGCTTACTATTAATTTCAGAGAAGCAAGGGCAACATATATCCGACATCAACAGCATAAAAAGGAGGTAACGCAGTTTTTCTCATCGGCCTTTTGTCTGAGTACAGTATTTGGAAATGGAATCTGCATGTAACCCAGCTTTCCCAATCTTTCAATAATTCTCTTCGCTAATTCTTTAATAGATTACTGAATAAATGATCAGATAAGGTAACGATTTTAACCACTAAAAAAATTCCGAATGATGTAAATTAAAGAATACACTTTCAATAATAAGAAATACAGTCAAACCCCGTTAAGATACCGCCTGATTTTAACAAGCAAATACCCTTCCTAATGATAATGTAATAGCTCCAGAAATCACGCTAAAATTCATCACAATTCCCTACAACTCAAATATGTTCATGGCGATTTTTTTTTCTTCGACATTCCGTCAACATTCTCAACAATAGTATTCAAGTTCATGCTTGTGAGAGGACTCCACAAAAAAACACACACAAGCACAAAAATGACTTAATTCTCTTCTTGGGAACATTAGCCAGATGTAAGTCACGCACCCCAGGGTTATTTTGATTGTTTTCTGGAAGTATTAGAATTTAATTTCCTATTATATTTCCTTTTCATATTATTTAGGTTACTGTATTTGTATTCATAAACCATCAACCCAATTTAAGCCACCAACCCCGGCCTTCATAAAACCGCCACTATTGATCTTACGCTCAAACAAATGGTGGTGGCTAATGAATGTTTGAATGGTGTTTGATGCTGTCTGAAAGCTTGGTTTCCCCATAGCAACACATATTTTAAATCCAGTTTTTTTTTTTTTAGGAAGAAACATACATGGTTACTACAGTATAATCATAAACAGGTTATTAGGTTTCCCTTTTTAAAGCAAAAATCGAGGGCAACCCCATTCAATTCCGTCTTGTAACAAAACAAATATGGAGGGCGTGTCCATCATCGTTCATCCGAAATACCAATTCTCGAAGAAGGCAAT